TTTCTGTGAATGACCTAATTTTCTTTCCCAAAGCTGTATCAGGAAGAAACTAAATCCAGAAGTATTTTGAGCTTTTTAAGGTGCATAATACTTGTAACAGATACCTGTTACAGAATTTTTAAATCCATAGCATCCACTTCTAGTTGCTTTGTTGTACTCTGTCAGCTTTGGGTAATTCTGTTTGTTTTGTTTTCAATTAAGCAGTGTTGATGCTAATGTGCTTATTATCAATATTTCCCCCAGGGAGCTACAGAATGGCCTAGCTGCTACCATATTGCTGGTGATAACAACCCACAGGCTGTAAAGAGAGCAGCAAACAACATCTGTTCTTTGCTAAAGAAAAATGAGAATAAGGAAAGGTGAGAAGAGTACAGGTGATTTTTCCGTTCCTGTAGTATTGTATGTAAAGAAATCCATTTTGTATTGATGCATTTGACCACCTTATTCCTATTTTCCTATTTGTTCTTTTGTTAACATAGAGCTCCTCAATTTAAAAATATTCTCAGTAAACCATGTGTGAGATAAACGTCTTTGCACTTGCAGCAGCACTTCCCTGGGCATACCCTTGGACATCATTCAGTGGGATATCTGCAACCTCCCTTTGCGGACTGGTTCTGTGGACATTATTGTGACAGACATGCCATTTGGAAAGAGGTGAGGTGTCACTGAAGTGACTGTACTACCTGCCACTGCTGCCTGTGCTTGCCTGGCTGGGGTTAGGGTTCTCTCCTGTTCAGTACTTAACTGGGCCTAACTAAGTATTGAAGTGCTCTGTATTAAAAATGCATGTTGAAATTAACAGTAAATGTGATCCTGAATGAGCTAATCCACATCTGAAAGACCAGCAGCAGTTAACTATTTTTCAGTGATCACAAAGGTGATCCTAATTTATTTTGCAGGATAGGGTCAAAGAAGAAGAACTGGGATCTCTATCCAGCCTGCCTTATGGAGATGGGCCGGATCTGCACACCAGGGACAGGCAGGGCTGCGCTGCTTACACAGGACAAGAAATGTTTTGCCAAGGTATGTTCTGTGGGAGAGAATCAAATCTATTCACACTTGAAAAGATACTGAGGAAAAAAAATTGTAAGCTGACTTCATTACAGGAGATGATCTATTTTTAGCGCAATAATTAGTAACATTTAAACACAGTTTGGGACCTAAAGAGTCATTTGATATTGCCATCAAATGTAATTTAGAATAAGCAAAAAATTATTTCTAAAGCAAATCCACATATAGTATCTTGTCTGGAGGCCACCATCACTCTTTGGCTGTTTTTTATTGTAGGCCTTGTCACGAATGGGACACATCTGGCGCAAAGGTCAGACTGTATGGGTGAATGTAGGGGGGCTTCACGCTGCAGTGTATCTTCTGAAACGCACCTGGGAAAGAGCAGAAGAAAAAAGATCATTCTGGTAACCAGCGTGGAAGAAAACAAGCAACACCTCCAGAATTTTCTGAATGGCAGTCTGGTAAAGCAGACACCTGAGAGCACAGGTCTGTCAATTCCTGAGGAAAAAAACCCAAACAACATGTAGGAATTGTCTAACACAAATATTAAACCAGGGATCAACTTGAGAGCTATCAGTTGTACTAAGTGTTCTGAAACCTTGTTATTCAAATCACCTCTTTCCTCCCTGCCACCCAAACTGAAATTCAGTAGTGGAATTAGTAATGATTTCCTTTTCCTGAGTCGTCTCTACCATGTCCATTGTATTTCTCAGTTAAATGTTTATTTCCTCTGCTTACAGTAGAAAACATGTTGAAGCAGCTTTGGAGGTAACGGTTAATTTACTTCTCAAACTGTAGAATTGTGTATCTATCTTTAAAATGACTAACAGGACTACCAAGACTGTCATCTTGAAGGGTTTAGAGAGTATCTCCTTAATGTAGGATTTTCCCAAATTGAAGTTTTCTAATTTATACCATTGCCTAAACATAAACTAAGATAATAAACCAGTATCTGTTTTTTATGGCCTGCTAAGCAAATGCCAATTAGTAAAGAGTATGCTGATGCTACTGTTTTTCTTACCTGTTACCTCAATTTAGTGCTAATTATTAGTAAATACCTAATTCATATTTTAATGTACCACTGCCATGGGGGTAACACACAGCCTTAGCAAACTGTCTGTAGTTATGATCTGAGAACACATACTGTTGGCAATTACATTAAAAAGTTTGCGTTTTCAGTGTCTGCTGTAGACACATCAGGGTGGCAATATGTTTAAATTTATTAGGTGATTTAACTGCTGTATTTACGCCACAGTATTTACCGAAATATTTACATATTACCTGTTGAATAACTTGGTTGCAATTATTTTTTTTCTTCTGTGAATGTACTGTGATTTCTCAGGCCTCTTACTCTTTGTTCATCAGAGACTGAAAACACTAGTTACCAGTTTGACATTTTCATTAAAGTGTATTCATGCTAAGTATGTGTAAGTGTTCAGAGGTGAATTAACAAGTATTAAAAGTTTTAGAAGTTTTGCATAGGTCGTAAGTCTTAAATTGTATTCTTTTTCTGGTCCATGTCCAATAAAGGATGATGCAGTCCTTTTTTATCCAGAAAGACAGCTCTGTAGTAAATGTAGTGTCAACAGTGTCCATTTCTTTCCCACACTGCTCAAGGTGATTCACGCAGTCGTTGCAAGAGGTGGCTTTCTAAATGCTCCTGCTCTAGTAAACTCTACAACTTAAACTGGATGTATTACATTCTTAAATGCATTAATACCTTAGTTGTTTGTTACTGCTAAAATTTTTTTAAAGGAAAGCCAAGCACAGTAACATTTTAAGACCTTATAGTGTGCATTTTTAAGGGTTTGGGTTTGTTGTTTTTTTTTTTCTTGAGTTATAGATGAGAATGAGTTTAGTAAAATGCCAGTCATCCCTTTTGGTCTGGAAGATGATAGGGTCATGTTTTGTTTTTTAAACCATAGCTAACATGAAATAGATTCAAATTGGACTGACGTGATACAGCAAACTCAGTTTTAACTAATACCAGGAGATGAGAACCAAGATTACTGACTGCTGCAGAGAATTTATATTTGATTTTCAGTACTTGTTCCTAAAATGTATGGCCTCACGTAACTGTGTCATGTCACAGGACACTCTGAGTTTGAGTCAGGAATGCGAAGATGTACAGTGATACATGTGTATCTCTGATTTTATAAATGTGAAGTGGTGCTCTGAGTTGTACAATTTAAGGCAGTTTCTCTTAAAAGATTGTACTTCTGGTTTCATGGATCATTGGTACCAGACACTGAGAACAGCTTTTTCCAGTTAAGACAATGACCTCTTTGGTTATATATGCTGTGTAATCCTACAATGCTGCAGTTTCTTAGAGTAAGTATCTGAAATATGCGCTTCTTCCATGGTGTGAATTTACTGTTTTCCTCTCATAGAAGGAAGGCAACTTCTTTTGAACGAGGGCCAGCAAGCACCTCCCCAACAGGTCTTGGATGTTCAGCTGTGCTTGGAAAAAAATGTAACTGACAGATGATGGCTTTTCTTGGGTCATTCTCTACCCATTTATGTACTTCTCCCTCAGGGGCTGCTAGAGGGACAGTACAGAAATTACAAAAGGACCATTCATCATTAAGTATTCCAAAAGAAAAAGCTGATAGGGGTTAAGACACAAGGAAAAGGCGCTGTCTTGATTCTTTGAACGCTGAAACCTGTACTGCCTATGGCAAAAAAATAAACTAACCTGCCTTGGTGTGTGAAATGCTGTTTTGAGGGGGTTGTCACATCCTTGGGAAAGCAAAACCTCATCTGAGAAAGCTTACCCCTTTTTCCCCAAGGCCTGAACGCTTTTTTGGGTGCAGGAGACCTAAAGCCTTTGGTGTTTCAAGTCAGCTTAAAGGGTTTTGCCAGAAGTCTGCCAGGGCAGCTCCAGCGTGGCAGGGATGGCTGGGAAGAACGTCCCAGTGAAGCAGATCACACCTCACGAGACCTGCCTAGCAGTAATTTAGGCGCTAGATGCGCATTTCCCTCTTCAACGTGGCACGCCCTGTTCCGTTTAGTGCCTTATTTTCGAGCAGAAGCGCAGCCGGGGCTCGCTGTTGATCCGCCCCTCACGGCCGCCATGTCGCGGACAAGGCCCCGGCCT